CGTGCAGGCCACGACGGGCGACGGGGGGCGACGCGCGGGTCCCCGTCGCCCGTCGCAGCGCCTCCCGGGGGCGACGTGCCGAGTGACGGGGCAGGAACCCGTCGCGCGCCTCGGGGCACACGGCGGGCAGAGAACCGCCGCGCGCCTCGGGGCGCACGGCGGGCAGAAAACCGCCGCGCGCCTCGGGGCGCACGGCGGGCTGAAAACCCTAGTTTCGACGCCGCGCACCACGGGGCGCGCGGCGGACAGGGAGTAGCAGTAGCAGCGGAAGCAGTGAAGTGGGCCCACAGGCCAGGAACGTTAAGCTCCCACACATCCACCCCCCTCAGCGGCAGCTGCAGCAGTGGGAGACGGAGGAGGAGGAGGAGCAGGGGACGGCGCACACACACGGCACCCCCAGAGCTGCCACCCCCACACTCCGCACCCCAAAACCCTAAAAACGGGCGGAACGGGGGAAGGAGCGCGGGGGACGGCGAGGGGGACGGCGCTCGGCCCCCAGAACGCGACCACGGGGCAGAGAGGGGCCGCGCGCGGCTCCCCAGGGCGGCGCGACGGGAAATCGGGGCCGCGGGGGGGTCGCGCGCGGCTCCCCAGGGCGGCACGACGGGAAATCGGGGCCGCGGGGGGTCGCGCGCGGCTCCCCAGGGCGGCACGACGGGAAATCGGGGCCGCGGGGGGTCGCGCGCGGCTCCCCAGGGCGGCACGACGGGAAATCGGGGCCGCGGGGGGTCGCGCGCGGCTCCCCAGGGCGGCACGACGGGAAAACGGGGCCGCGGGGGGTCGCGTGCGGCTCCCCAGGGCGACGGGATCGCGGGGCCGCGGGCGACGGGACCGGAGGGCCGCGGGCGACGGGATCGGGGGGCCGCGGGCGTCCCCCACGGTAGGAAACCGCCGTGCGCCTCGGTGCGCACGGCGGGGAGAAAACCGCCGCACGCCCCGAGCGCGCGGCGGGATGAAAATGTGAAGGTCGCGCGCCACGGGGCGCGCGACACTGAGTAGGGCAGCGGAAGCAGCAGTGGGGCCCACAGGCCAGGAGCGTGAACGCTCTGATACCATGTCGAGATAATAGGTATACTGAGGAGCCATAGCTAGGGTTGACCTAGCTAGGCATGAGAGAATGAAGGCAAAAGAGGACTGAACTAGCAAGAATGGGGATACAAATAGCAAACCCTAGAAGGGTTGTACTCGCTACAGAGCACCCCACTACAGGCTATAGCATAATATTCTGACACACCCCTCGCGACAAAAATGCGAGCTCTCATGAAGCAGTCAGCTGTGCCAACCAAATATTGGCCCTATGCCATGGCGCATGCAGTTCGACTGCACAACATACTCTCCTCCAAAGCCCTGCCCAACAACAGTTCACCCTTCAAGGAGTGGACTGGAAAACACCCCGACACACGCATGCTGCGGGTCTTCGGATGTATGGTACAGTACCGACCCCACACTGCCCGAACCGGAAAATTTGAAGACCGTGCCCGCTGGGGCATTCACCTCGGAATCGAATCCGAATACCACGCCTGGACAATTCTGGACTTCGCCACCCACCAGCTCACGCGTTCACGTGACTGCATCTTCTACGAAAGACTGACCCTGCCACTGTACCGCCAGCACCGCACTGCACAAAACGCACCAGACAACATTTTTCAGGGGCAGCACAGCTACGCAAATGACGAGGACGACGTCGACGTGGCAGGAGAACAACCGGACGAGGCCGCAACAGATAACACACCCTTTGTACCCGTTACGGAGCAACTCAAGACACCCACCTTCTTCCCGACGAACACTGATTCAGGTGAAGCAGCCCAAGCCCTACATGACTACGCAAGTGCGGAAATGCACTCACCCATAAACGAAGACACGGCTCGCAACTCTTCTCGTGATACCATTCGCGACATTCCTGGCGACGACGACGACGACGTGGTCGAAGTAACCAACGCAGCCGAATCCAACCTTACTGGTCTTCGCATCCTCGGCCTCGCCGTCGCCGTGCGGGGTAACCACCAACCGGCGGAGCCCACCACTGTTCGCCAAGCCCTCAGTGGGCCCGATGCCGAAAAATGGAGAGCCGCCATGGCCGCAGAAGTCGCTGCCCTTCAGCGACGAGGAACCTGGACGCTGGCCCCACGACGACACGCGAAGGGGAGAAAAATTCTCACGGGGAAATGGGTATTCAGAATCAAAACTCTGGCGGACGGAACCATCGACAAATACAAGGCGCGGTGGGTCGTCCGCGGGTTCGAGCAAACACAGTTCGTCGACTACGACCAGACCTTCGCACCTGTCGGCCGTCACACGTCTGTGCGCATTCTTCTCTGCATCGCCGCCATCAAACAGCGCCCTCTGCGCAAAATCGACGTCTCAAACGCCTTCCTCTACGCGATCGTCGACGCTATCATCTACGTCGAACAGCCGCACGCATTCGAGGAAGACGGCGACACCATCTGCCTCCTCCAGAAGTCACTCTACGGCATCAAGCAGGCGCCGCGCCTGTGGCAACAGTACCTTCACGCCATCCTTATCGAGCTCGGCTTCCAACAGCTTCCCCATGACCAAGGGATGTACCGCCTCGAATCCCGCGGCCACTTCATCCTACTCGTCGCCTACGTGGACGACCTTCTCTACACCGGGGACGACTCCGAGCTGCTCGATCGCTTCGAGCGCGAGATTCAGGAGAAGCTGGAGGTCACCATCGACCACGACGTCACCCAATTCCTCGGCCTCAACGTCACACAGAGCGCCGACTCTATTCACCTCTCTGCTGCGAAGTACGCCGAGAGCCTCGCCAAGAAATTCGGCATCCCTCCCATCGGCATCACCACCCCATTTCGCACTCCTCCTCCCAACCACACGCCGGACACCACCCCGCTCTCCCCAGCAGACCACCGCCTCTACCAGCAACAGCTCGGTTGCCTCCTGTTCGCCGCCGTCACATGCCGCCCGGATCTCTCCTACATTGCCAGCCAGCTCGCCCAGTACCTGCGCCGACCTGAAGGGGAGAACATGGCAGATCTTCGTCGAGCCCTACAGTACTTCATCTCCACGCCCGACGTCGGCCTCACCTACAAGGCAAATCTAACGGCCAACTTACAGCTTACCGGTTTCGTCGACGCAGATCACGCGGGGGACGCAGAAAACAGAAGGTCCCGCACAGGCTTCATTTTCAAGCTTGAGCCTGCAGGAACCATCTCCTGGAACTCGCAGAAACAGGAGCTCATCGCCCTCTCGTCAGCAGAAGCAGAGTTCATCGCAGCAAGCGCAGCAGTTCGCGAAGGACTCTACCTCACGGAACTCCTACAGGAAACGAAAACGGCGATGAACGGGTCCTTCAAGTTACTCTGCGACAACCAGAGTGCGATCAAAATCGCACACAAGCCCGGCTTCGTCAACCGCACCAAGCACATCGCCCTGCGATATTTCTTCGTCAAGGACGAAATCGACAAGGGCAAGGTCCAGCTCACCTACTGCCCAACCGACAAGATGGCAGCAGATTTTCTGACTAAGAAGCTGCCACGTCAGAAGTTTCAGTACTGCTCAGACCTGTGCGGAGTCGCTCGCAAAAGGCCACATGGCACACCTCCAGGAATGAAGGGGAGTGTTGGAGTATGAAGGGAATACAGTTAAGCATTCCCGAAGGTGCAGCTACATCGCACCAGTCACTATCGAAGCAGCGCGAGCAGTAAAAGTCGGATCAGCCTATACCAAAGGCAGGAAGGTCAACAGGCGCAAAAGTCAACTGTCGCGACTGTTGACCATCTGGACCGACGATTGACTCACCATCGAGGAATGTCAACAGGCGTAACCGCACGCACGGTTACAAGCAGCGACTCGGTAACAAGAAAGGAAATGCAACAGTCAGAGTCACTGTTGTACTGCCTGTAAAACAGTTATAATAAGGGAATGTACCCCTTAGAGTATATGGCTAGTTAGGACTATTTATTTGCTTGTATTCTATCCTTTAAACCAACTTTGTCATCTACATTCATTATGATCAAGGTTCCTACCAAGACTTCCGCTACCAACTCTCATAGAGGCACTTCCTATCCTATCCAAGATCCTCACTCTAACATCGTACTCGAGCGAGCGCAGCAGGCATCAGGGAAGCGAGAGCTGCGTAACTTGCAGGAGTGATTTATTGTCGCCAAGACAGTCTAACGAAGGCTCGGAACGCGTTTTGAAAACCATGTTACCATGTTCGCCATGTTTTGTGTTGGGGGAGGCGGGGGTCACACAGACCGCTTCGCGAGTAAGGGCAGATTCTTGATTTCGTATCATCCGATATTTGTGTTATCCGAAATTGTGGGATCCAATCGGAATTCGTCTAAACCCTGATTCGGTTTTTTCGATTGGATCCCACAATTTCGGATGACACAAACACCGGATGACACGAAGTGAGGAATCCGGCCTAATCCTTTCGCGAGTTCAATCGCATATCCCCACTGCCATGGTGCACGAGGGGTTTTTAGGCTCCGCCCATGAAGTTTTCCTGTACTTGTTAGGAGCAGTTGTTTTTCTTTGCAGTAGATTTTCCCTGTATTCGTTAGGAGCAGTAATTTTCCCCTGCACTCGTTAGGAGCGGTTGTTTTCCTCTGAACTCGTTAGAAGCAGTAGTTTCGCAACCTCCGATAGAAATAGAGATACGGTACATTATAACTTTCACTCGTTTCCAAATTGCCCGAGCAACCTACAGCCAACCCACCTCCACATCCTCGTCTCTTGTTCGATCTATTTTACATCGGTCTTGTTGTTTGGTTCTTCCTGCTCCTGCCTGTTTGTTCTTGTTGAATTTCTGAATCTCACCTTCGTCAGATCGCAGTCGCTCTTCTATCTTCGCGCCTCGATCCCCCGACGCCGGTTCTGAATTCGCGTGCTCGGATCCGCGTCTCATCCGTCCCCCTGTTTTCTGCCGCACCCGCGCGACCGAGATCGACACGACGAGAATCCCATCGGGCCATTCCCTTGGTCGTCACACCGCCCCTTAACGCCATCGATCAGTCACGATGCAGGGCCCCGTGCTCGTTCTAAGTACGTCCTAACGTCCTTTCCTGTCAGCAGCATTGCTGGTTACGCTATCAATATGTTTGCCTGCTCGATCTGTCCTATCGATTCCGCGCTTCGAGCGAAGACGGGTGAATCCGACGGTCGTGGAAGCATTCCCCCGTGCTGCCTTGCCGTGGATCCGCGGCCGTACGATCCGGCGCTAGTGGGTCGTTCTTGAGCCGTTGATGGGATGGCAGTCAGCCCGTGCCCGGTCGATCATCGCAGATTCGCAGGCATGCACAGCTTTGTGGGAGTCACGTTTGAGAATCCTCGAGAGTGACTCCAATACAAGCATGCACGGCTTTGTCTCGCTTGCTCCGAGTGCAGTAAGCGCCATCGTTGCCGTTCCGATGTGGTTCAGCGGGACCGATGAGGAAATACCGCTACAGGGATCGAAAAGCGAATTGGGAACGGGGATCGTAATATGGTGGAACGGAAAGCGAAGCAGAGTTGGGCGGCGGCGCGTGAAGATCAGTTCGCGTCAAGACTGGCGTGCCTACGGATCCCGCTCCTCCATGTCTCTCTCCTCACTGCCTTGGCCATGTGCGCCATGCGCTTCACCGTCCCTCCATGCATTGCCTCCCGTTTTTTTTTCGACTTTCCCCGTTCCCGGCGCAGATGCGAACACGAAGCGCGAGTCGGGTCGCAAGGCGCAGCTCGGCAACATCGCGGCGGCCAAGGTGCGTTGTCAGACGCGAGAGGCGATGCATGAGACATGAGAAGCAGAGATTTCGTTTGTGAGACGTTTGGCTTAACGCAGCGAGTCGGGTCGCAACGTTGCTATGGCCAAGGTGAAAAGCGAGGCACAGGGGTTTAACTTTGGGGTTCAATAGGAGGTCGCGCGTCGGTAAGTAGCGGCTTTTTGCGCAGTCTGTGCGAGTGCACCCACGCGTGCTTCCAGGCGCCTCACTCGCTGCTTCCCCGTCCCGCGATACTCACTCCCCCCCCCCACACCTCCATCCCTCCAACACTCTCCTCCACCCCTCCAACACACCCCTCCACCCCTCAACACACCCCTCCATTCCTCCAACACTCTCCTCCACCCCTCCAACACACCCCTCCACCCCTCCAACACACCCTCCACCCCTCCAACACACCCCTCCGCCCCTCCAACACACCCCTCCTCCTCCAACACTCAACCCTCCACCCAAACCTTTCTCCCATGTCCTCCTCTGCCGTCTTCCCCCACCCTTCCCCCCCCTCTCCCCCCTCTCCCCCTCTCCCCCCCTCTCCCCCCTCTCCCCCCTCCCTTGCATCTCCCTCCGCCTCCCCCTCTCCCGCGCAGCTGGTAGCGGACATCATTCGCATGGGCCCGCGCGCCATGCTCAAGATGCTGCTGGACGCGCCTTCTCCCCTCCACCTCAGTCCAACGAACCTCTCTACTGCAACCCCTTTCCCCTCCCCTCGTGCGCGCAGGCGGTGGCGGACATCATCCGCACCACGCTGGGCCCGCGCTCCATGCTCAAGATGCTGCTGGACGCCACAGGAGGTGAGCTGCGCGCCACAGGAGGTGAGCGGGATGCCACAGCAGGTGGTATTGTCTCGTGCACGTGGTGGGTACACAGTGTACGTCATCTCCCATCCCTCTCGTGCCACATAGTGCCCATCCCACGTGCACCACGCTGGGGCCTCGTTCCATGCTCAAGATGCTGCTGGACGCCACAGGAGGTGAGGTCCGCGCCCCCATGCCCCCATCCCATGCGTGTACTGGCCTCTTCGGATGAAAGGCTTGAAAATGTCGCTGGCGTGTGAGTAGAAGTCATAATGCGATTCTCATCTCATGCCATGGCATGGCGTGCATTCAGTGAATCATTCACACCATTCCCATTCCATGCCATGCCATTCCATGCCATGCCATGCAGGCATCGTTCTGACCAACGATGGAAACGCCATTTTGAGAGAAATCGACGTCACGCACCCAGCTGCCAAGGTGAGAAGCCTTGTGGTGTGTGGGCGTAAGGGCAATGCGTTTGGGTGGAAGTGAGAGGTGGAGTTGTGATAGGGTTGGATGTTTAACGGCTGTCGTGCTGCAGGGAGTGCACAGTACCACTACTATGATTCAGGGTTCAGGGCATAGGAGGGTTTGGGGTTTAGGGTTGGGGTTGAGATGAGAGGTGTGAGTGTTGAGGGCCTGGAATTTGCTTAATCCACTTGGTCGCCAAGGCACCCACCGAACTCGCCTTAGCGGCATCCACAGCCGTTGCTCGTTGCGCTTTGCATGCCCCGCATCACCTCTCCGCTGTTGCTGTTGCTGCTGCCCTGCGTGCCATGGGTGTGTGTGGTTGGGGGTGTTGCAGTCCATGATCGAGCTGAGCCGCACACAAGACGAGGAGGTGGGCGACGGCACCACCTCCGTCATCATCCTTGGTCAGCCCCCTTCCCCTCCACCTCTCTCCTCTCTCTCCCCTGCACCTCCCTCCAATCTCTTGCCTCCCCTCCCCTCCCCTCCTCAATCCCCTCCTCCCTTCCCCCCTCCCCTCCGCCAACCACCACCCCTCCCTCTTCGTGTTCTTTTTTCATTCCAATTGTCCATCATCCATGCGTACCTCTCTGCTGCCGGATTGGTCCGCAACGGCCTCTTTGACCCTTGAAATGTTACGAGGTGACTTTTGAGTCGACTCAAATGTGACATGCCCTTCCTCTCACTCCCCACCTATCCACTCCCCCCTCCCCCCCGGTTCGTTTGATACCCTGCATGCCACGTGTCACCACTGTGTGCTGCCAGCTGGCGAGATGCTCCACGTGGCGGAGCCCTTTTTGGAGAAAGGCTTTCACCCCACCGTCATCTGCAGAGGTGCGCTCTCGTGGGCTAGCTGGGGTGTGCTGTCTCGGGCGCTCTCGTCTCCAAAAAGAGGGCTTTCACTCCACCTTCGTGGAGAAGGCTAGCTGGGGTGTGCTGTGTGTGGGGCAGGGTGATTCCTGTTTGGGGGTGTGGTGGGTGCAGTTTTACAAGTTCATGCTTCCCTCTCTTCATTCTCATTCTTTCCAACAGCACCTCCTCTCTGCGCCCCCTCCAAATTTTTTAGCCGTCACCTCCCCCCGCTCTCCAGCCTCCCTCTTCCCCTAATTACTCAATTTCCCAAGCACCCCCCAATCACGCCCAATCACGCCCAATCACGCCCAATCACGCCCAATCACGCCCAATCACCCCTCAATTACCCAATGCCCTGGCGCCCACCAGCGTACCCCAAGGCGTTGGACGATGCGATAGCAGTGATCAACAAGGTGCCATTCAAGATCGAAACAATGGGCAGCCACCAAGCCCCTGTGCCCTCTCCTCATGTCTCCGCCCCCTACCCTCTCCCCCCATGCGCCCACCAGCGTACACCAAGGCGTTGGACGATGCCATATCGGTGATTGACAAGGTGCCATTCAAGATCAAAACAATGGGCAGCCACCAAGCCCCTGTGCCCTCTCCTCATGTCTCCGCCCCCTACCCTCTCCCCCCATGCGCCCACCAGCGTACACCAAGGCGTTGGACGATGCCATATCGGTGATTGACAAGGTGGCATTCAAGATCGAAACAATGGGCAGCCACCAAGCCCCTGTGCCCTCTCCTCATGTCTCCGCCCCCTACCCTCTCCCCCCATGCGCCCACCAGCATACACCAAGGCGTTGGATGATGCCATAGCGGTGATTGACAAGGTGGCATTCAAGATCGACGTCAACAACAGTGAGACAACCCTGCTCTCCTCCTCTCTGCCCTCCCTCCTCTCTGCCCTCCCTCCTCTCTGCCCTCCCTCCTCTCTGCCCTCCCTCCTCTCTGCCCTTCCTCCTCTCTGCCCTCCCTCCTCTCTGCCCTCCCTCCTCTCTGCCCTGCACACCTCTCTGCCCTGCACACCTCTCTCTCATTGCGCGCCTTTCAAACTTGCCTCTCCCACTCTGCCTGCTCTCACCTCTCACCCTTGTTTTGCACGATAATCCTTGCCCTCTATCACCTCCATCCCTGTATGCATGCCTTCCCCTGCCATACTCTGCCGCCTACCCATCTCCTCCTTTCATCCCCCATCCCCTTGCGCGCCGTCTGTGCTGCCCTGTGCCTCCCTGTGCTGCCCTGTGCCTCCCTGTGCTGCCCTGTGCCTCTGCCTCGCACAGGGAAGCAGATGCTGAGCATACTGCAGAGCTGCATCGGCACCAAGTTCACCACCCGCTTCGGGTCCCTCATGGCTGTAAGTATTGTTAGGATGCAGCATACGATGTGACAGTCGTCGTCGTTCTTTCCCGCTTGTCGCCTCGTTCCCTCCTCGGCCTAGACGCCTTAGGAATATTTGCCTTTTATATCCTCTACAGACCAGGCCAATAGCAGTAGCTGCCCTAACCCTGCCCTTGCCCACTTACCCTTCCCCACCCACTCCTGCTCACTTTCCTTCCCCTGCCATCATCGCCTTTGCCCCCCTTCCCCACCACGAGCCGGCCCAAGGCGCGATGACGACACTGTAGGTGGAGGTGGGAGGCTGTTCTCACCTGCCTGCAACCCCTCCGCCATTCCCCCAGGAGCTCGCGCTAGACACGGGAGGCTCAATCCCCTCCCTCCCCTACCACAACTTGCCTTGCCCTTCCCCATCTTCCCCCCATCCGCTCTGCAACCCCTCCGCTACTCGCATAGGAACTGGCACTAGATGTGGTGACGACACTGGCGGTGGAGGTGGGGGGGCGCAAGGAGGTTGGCATCAAGCAGTACGCCAAGGTGGAGAAGAGAAGCTGCTGTGCCGGGCTGCTCACCTCACCACAGGGCCTCTCCATCCCTTCCCTTCCCCACCTGGGCTTGCCTTGCCCTCACTCACCCCCACTGCTCTCTCCAGGAACTGACAACAGTAGCAGTGGAGGTGGGGGGGCGCAGCTGACCACCAAACCGCTCTGTATCCCTGCTCTTCCCAACCTGCCCTTGCTCTCCCCAACCTGCCCACAGGAACTGGCACTAGATGCGGTGACGACAGTAGCAGTGGAGGTGGGGGGCCGCAAGGAGATTGACATCAAGCAGTACGCCAAGGTGGAGAAGGTGCCGGGCGGTCGGATAGAGGACAGTGCGGTGCTGCGCGGTGTGATGTTCAACAAGGACGTGGTGGCTCCCGGCAAGATGCGGCGGCGCATTGAGAACCCGCGAATCGTGCTGCTGGACTCGCCGCTGGAGTACAAGAAAGGCGAGAACCAGACGAACGTTGAACTCTTGAAGGAGGAGGACTGGTGAGTGGCTTAAGGGGCCAAGGGAAGGGGGGGTGGGAGAGACAGCAGCAGCGTCTGATGCGGCGGCGCATTGAGAACCCGAGAATTGTGTTGCTGGACTCGCTTCTGGAGTACAAGAAGGGCGAAAACCAGACCAACGTGGGGTTGCTCAAGGAGGAGGACTGGTGAGTGAGGGGAAGGAGGTGGGGAGAGGGTGAGCAAGAGGGTGAGAGAGGGTAGGAATGGAGAGGGTAGGAATGGAGAGGGTAGGAATGGAGAGGGTAGGAATGGAGAGGGTAGGAATGGAGAGGGTAGGAATGGAGAGGGTAGGAATGGAGAGGGTAGGAATGGAGAGGGTAGGAATGGAGAGGGTAGGAATGGAGAGGGTAGGAATGGAGAGGGTAGGAATGGAGAGGGTAGGAATGGAGAGGGTAGGAATGGAGAGGGTAGGAATGGAGAGGGTAGGAATGGAGAGGGTAGGAATGGAGAGGGTAGGAATGGAGAGGGTAGGAATGGAGAGGGTAGGAATGGAGAGGGTAGGAATGGAGTGCAAGAAGGGCGAGAAGCACATGAACGTTGGACTGCTCAAAGAGGAGGACTGGTGAGTGGCCGGGAAGCGGGTGGAGGAGGGGTTTGGGAACGATGGTACTTGAGGTGGCGGTGCATTGAGAACCTGTGGGTCGTGCTGGTGCTTTTAAGTCGTGTTGGAAGGCTTGTATGGGATTGGGGAGAAGTGGTGTTGGATGGGGTCGAGAAAGTGAAGAAAAGCCATGTGGGAGAGGAGTGGAGAGGGGTGGAGAGGGGTGGTGGGAGCAGCGAGTAAGATTAGAGTCTCGGGTGGTGGAGAGGGGTGGTGGTGCGAGAGGCTTGTTTGGTGGTGAGAGCGGAGACTCAGAAAGGGGGTGGGCGATGCTGAGGTGGATTAGAGAGGTGTTGAAGTAATTGCAGCTTTCTGTTGCCACCTCTCACTGCCCCTCTCGTCCCTTGTCCTTTTTCTTGACCTTGCCCTCTCCGCCATGTGCCCACATGCTCTGTGTCTCTCCACGTGACAGGGAGCAGCTATTGAAGATGGAGGAGGAGTACATAGCTGGTCTGTGTCGCCACCTCCTCTCACACAGCCCTCACTGCCATGTCCTTGTTCTCCCTGCCTTCTCTGCACATACGCCCACACGCGGCTGTGTCTCTGCATGTGACAGGGAGCAGCTATTGAAGATGGAGGAAGAGTACATAGCAGGCCTGTGTCGCCACATAGCGGCCTTCAAGCCCGACCTCGTCATCACGGAGAAGGGCCTCAGCGACCTCGCAGCCCACTACCTCTCCAAGTAGGTGCTCTGCTCCTTGCCCTCGCAGCGCGCTACCCCTCCAAGCCACTGCCCTAGCTAGCTATCACTTCACCTGTAGCTATCACTTCACCTGTAGCTATCACTTCACCTGTAGCTATCACTTCACCTGTAGCTATCACTTCACCTGTAGCTATCACTTCACCTGTAGCTATCACTTCACCTGTAGCTATCACTTCACCTGTAGCTATCACTTCACCTGTAGCTATCACTTCACCTGTAGCTATCACTTCACCTGTAGCTATCACTTCACCTGTAGCTATCACTTCACCTGTAGCTATCACTTCACCTGTAGCTATCACTTCACCTGTAGCTATCACTTCACCTGTAGCTATCACTTCACCTGTAGCTATCACTTCACCTGTAGCTATCACTTCACCTGTAGCTATCACTTCACCTGTAGCTATCACTTCACCTGTAGCTATCACTTCACCTGTAGCTATCACTTCACCTGTAGCTATCACTTCACCTGTAGCTATCACTTCACCTGTAGCTATCACTTCACCTGTAGCTATCACTTCACCTGTAGCTATCACTTCACCTGTAGCTATCACTTCACCTGTAGCTATCACTTCACCTGTAGCTATCACTTCACCTGTAGCTATCACTTCACCTGTAGCTATCACTTCACCTGTAGCTATCACTTCACCTGTAGCTATCACTTCACCTGTAGCTATCACTTCACCTGTAGCTATCACTTCACCTGTAGCTATCACTTCACCTGTAGCTATCACTTCACCTGTAGCTATCACTTCACCTGTAGCTTCACTTACAATTCTGAACCCCAAGCCCTTGTATCCCATCGTGGTCTTCAAGCCGGACCTCGTGAACCGGGTGGAGGAGCTGCAGGAGAGCGACGTGGGGACGGGCGCGGGGCTGTTTGAATCAAACTCTCTCTTTTACCCCTCCCCTCCCACCCAGAGCCGGCATCTCAGCCATTCGCCGGCTGCGCAAAACAGACAACAACCGCATTGCTCGTGCGGTAGGCGCCACCATTGTGAACCGGGTGGAAGAACTACAGGAGAGCGACGTGGGGACGGGCGCGGGGCTGTTTGAGGTGCGCAAGATCGGCGACGAGTTCTTCGCCTTCCTGGTGGAGTGCAAAGAGCCCAAGGCGTGCACCGTGCTGCTGCGAGGGGCGAGTAAAGACATTCTCAACGAGATGGAGAGGAACCTGCAGGTGAGGGGGGGGAGGGGGGGATTGATGGGGGTAGAGGGGGGGGGGAGGGGTTGTAGGAAGGTGCCGGCAGGTCAAGGTGTGCATTGTGCTGCTTGGGGAGGGGCAGCAAGGACTCCCTTAATGGGATGGAGAGGAACCTGCAGATCAGGGGGGGTGGGAGGGGATAGAGAGCGGTCTAGTGCGGGTGAGTGGTGTAATGAAGGGTCAAGTGCAGGTGAGCGAGGGAATGGGTGGAGCGAGGTGAAGGGAATTCGGCAGCGAGGAAGTTGCGAGGGCGTTCTCTGCGGTGACTTTTGAGTCGACTCAAAAGTCTTCTCTGGTACATGTAGAGGAGCCCACAGGCGAAGGGGTGGGGGGAAAGGGGGAGTTGGGGTGGGAGACATAGAATGGTTTGCAGGTGACCAAGGGAAGAGGTGGGGAAGAGGGAAGTGGGGAGGAGGTGGGGAATGGGTGAGCACGGGCGAGGGTAGAGAGTGGGGGAGGAGGGTGCGGCGATGGAGGAGAAGTGGGGGAAGGTGAGGGCAGGTTCAGAGGAGGAGGGGGGGAGGCTTTTGTACAAGCTGCAGGTTATGGGTTGGCCTTGGGATGGGAGGTGAGCGCAGTGATGGGGCGAGGCGAGGCAAGCATGCGGGGAGGCTTGTAGCATGGCACACACCACACAGCACCACACCACGCCACACCACACCACACCTGCTCCATTAGCTGCCGCTGTCCCTTCCCCCCCAACCTCAGGACGCCATGGGAGTGGCGCGCAATGTGGTGGTGGACCCTCGCCTGGTGTCGGGGAAGGCTTCGGGAAGGGGCACCCGTTTCTGTGCCTGCACACACCCCACCGCACCACACATGACCACACCACCTCTCTCTCCTGCTTCTGCCCCACCCCACTCTCAGGACGCCATGGGAGTGGCGCGCAATGTGGTGGTGGACCCTCGCCTCGTGCCGGGTGGCGGTGCCGTGGAGATGAGTGTGTCGGCCGCCCTCAAGGACAAGGCTGGCACTGTGGCAGGCATTGAGCAGGTGAGAGGCTTGGAGCAGGCGGGAGGGCAGGCAGGCTAGGGCTTTGAACAGGGACGTGGAGATGAGTGTGTCAGCCGCCCTCAAGGACAAGGCTGGCACCGTGGCAGGCATTGAGCAGGTGGGTGGGCAGTGAAAGGGCAACGGGCAGGTGATGCATGGAGCAGGTGGGTGGGAGGTGCCAGCCAGGCTATGTTGAAATATGTGCGCATGGCGCAGGGCGTTGGCGTGGTGCCGTGGAGATGAGCGTGTCGGCTGCCCTCAAAGACAAGACCGGCACCGTGGCAGGCATTGGGCAGGTGAGAGGGCATGGAGCAGGTAGAGGCAGTGAGAAAGGTGGGGCGTTATGGAGCAGGTGAGGCATGCAGCAGAGCATCGAACAATGCCGTGTGCCAGAAGGAGGTGCCGTGGAGATGAGATGAGCGTGTCAGCCGCCCTCAGGGACAAGGCTTGCACCACGGCAGGCATTGAGCAGGTGGGTGGGTAGGGCCAGCCGGCCATGCTACATTGAAGTATATATGCATGTGGGCACGGTGCAGGTGGGTGGGTGGGCATTGAGCAGGTAGAAAACCCCACGGAGGGTCCAGTTTGTGTCTGCCATAGATGTTCGAATGAACTTGTGGTGGGGAATGTGTTTCTAATAGAGCGACTTTTGAGGCGCCTCAAAATGTTTGAATGAACTTGTGGTGGGGAATGTGTTTCTAATAGAGCGACTTTTGAGGCGCCTCAAAATGTTTGAATGAACTTGTGGTGGGGAATGTGTTTCTAATAGAGCGACTTTTGAGGCGCCTCAAAATGTTCGAATGAACTTGTGGTGGGGAATGTGTTTCTAATAGAGCGACTTTTGAGGCGCCTCAAAATGTTCGAATGAACTTGTGGTGGGGAATGTGTTTCTAATAGAGCGACTTTTGAGGCGCCTCAAAATGTTCGCATGAACTTGTGGTGGGGAATGTGTTTCTAATAGAGCGACTTTTGAGGCGCCTCAAAATGTTCGCATGAACTTGTGGTGGGGAATGTGTTTCTAATAGAGCGACTTTTGAGGCGCCTCAAAATGTTTGAATGAACTTGTGGTGGGGAATGTGTTTCTAATAGAGCGACTTTTGAGGCGCCTCAAAATGTTCGAATGAACTTGTGGTGGGGAATGTGTTTCTAATAGAGCGACTTTTGAGGCGCCTCAAAATGTTCGAATGAAATTGTGGTGGGGAATGTGTTTCTAATAGAGCGGCTTTTGAGGCGCCTCAAAATGTTTGAATGAACTTGTGGTGGGGAATGTGTTTCTAATAGAGCGGCTTTTGAGGCGCCTCAAAATGTTTGAATGAACTTGTGGTGGGGAATGTGTTTCTAATAGAGCGACTTTTGAGGCGCCTCAAAATGTTTGAATGAACTTGTGGTGGGGAATGTGTTTCTGATAGAGCGACTTTTGAGGCGCCTCAAAATGTTCGAATGAACTTGTGGTGGGGAATGTGTTTCTAATAGAGCGACTTTTGAGGCGCCTCAAAATGTTCGAATGAACTTGTGGTGGGGAATGTGTTTCTAATAGAGCGACTTTTGAGGCGCCTCAAAATGTTCGAATGAACTTGTGGTGGGGAATGTGTTTCTAATAGAGCGACTTTTGAGGCGCCTCAAAATGTTCGAATGAACTTGTGGTGGGGAATGTGTTTCTAATAGAGCGACTTTTGAGGCGCCTCAAAATGTTCGAATGAACTTGTGGTGGGGAATGTGTTTCTAATAGAGCGTGTCGGCTGCTGGCAAGGACAACGCCAGCACTTGGTGGGCGTGGAGCTTGAGTGCAGTTCTTTCGAGTTCCAAGTATGCTGGTCGCATGAGACATGAAGCTGCTTGTCCAACTGCCCTCACACCTGCATGCATTGCCTTTTCCTCGTTCCCTCTTTGCTCCCCTCTCTGCTCCCTCCTCGTCTCCCCCCTCTGCTCCCTCCTCTGCTCCCCCTTCTCCTCCCCTTTATGCACCCCCCTCTGCTCCCCCCTCTGGCCCCATGCCTCCCCCGCATTGGCCGTACCGGGCAGTGGCATCAGCCTTTGAGGTGATTCCGCGCACGCTGGCACACAACTGCTTTGAGACATCTCACATCTCAAAACTCCCCCCCTTCCACACTCCACTCCACCCCCCCACCCCCCCTCTCCCCCCTTCCTGCAGTGGCCGTACCGAGCGGTGGCGTCAGCCTTTGAGGTGATCCCGCGCACGCTGGCGCAGAACTGTGGAGTGAGCGTCATCCGCACCGTCACTGCGCTGCAGGCCAAGGTGGGCGGCAGGCCGAGGTGGGCGGCAGGCCGAGGTGGGCGGCAGGCCAAGGTGGGCGACAGGCCGAGGTGGGCGGCAGGCCAAGGTGGGCGCAGACCGAGGTGGGCGGCAGGCCGAGGTGGGCTCTTTGTCTGGTGAGCATGGCCTGTGAGACTGGCTTCATCATTATGCTCGCCACGCCCCCACCACGCTCCACTATAGCTCTCCTCTGCCTGGCCCCACTACCTACCGCTGCCCTCTTGGTGCCTTTTATCAAAACCTCTCTCTCTCCGCTCTTCCCTCTTGTCTTGTTCCTCTCTCATCTCTCTTTCCTGCTTCTCTCCTCACCGCACCACTCCCCATCCTACCTCTCATCACTCCTTCATCTCATCACTCCTCCCTCTCATCACTCCACCCTCTCATCACTCCATCTTCCTTTATCCCAACCTCCACTTAGCAGCTAGCACGTTTGCACTGATTCCTATGTGCATCACCTATCCCTTCTCTCTCCCATCTGCCCCACGACCCCTCCCACCCCACCCCAACAGCACGCACAAGGCGCCAACACGTCCATAGGCATTGACGGTGACACGGGCGCCCTCACATGCACGCATTCACAGGCACACACGTGCATCATGACTCCTTTCCACCCGTTCTCCCCTCATCCCCACCCCTCCCACCCCACCCCAACAGCATGCACAAGGTGCCAACACGTCCATAGGCATTGATGGCGACACGGGCGCCCTCACTGACATGAAGGAGCTTGGGGTGAGTGGTGGGGAGTGGTGGGGAATGGTGGAAATTGGTGAGGGAGAGTGCTGGGGTTGAGTGCTGGAGACAGACGTGCAGAAGAGTGGTGAGAGCTGGGGTAGGAAGCATGGGTCAATGCTGCGAAGTAGGGGTGAGGGAAAACGAAGCATTGACCCTTCCATGCACTGAGGCGCTGTGCCTCACCTGCTCGCCCTTCCATGCATTCCCCTCATTGCACTGCCCTTCCCCTCATTTCATCCCCCCGCCCGCTTCCTCCTCCCCACCCACGGCCTGCCAGGTGTGGGAGGCGCACACTGTGATGTGAAGGTGCAGACAGTTGAGATGGCCATTCAGTTGCTGGGTGCCTCACCTGCGCACCCCGTCATGCACTGCACTCCCCTCATCACACCCCCACTCCTGCCCCCGCCCTACCAGGTGTGGGAGCCGTATGCAGTGAAGGTGCAGATGGTAAAGACGGCCATCGAGGCAGCGTGCATGCTGCTGCGCATCGATGACATCGTCAGCGGGCTCAAGAAGAAACAGGCAGGCGGCAAGCCACGAGGGGCCCATCCATGCCCCCTTCTGCACTTCCCAACCTCCCTGCCCCTCTGCCTCCCTGCCTCCCCTGAACCCTGCCTCCCTGACCCCCTGCCCCACTGTCTGCCAGGTTTGGGAGCCGTATGCAGTGAAGGTGCAGACGGTGAAGACAGCAATCGAGGCAGCGTGCATGCTGCTGCGCATCGATGACATCGTCAGCGGGCTCAAGAAGAAACAGGCAGGTGGCGCACCGGGAGGGGGCAAGCCGCAGCTTGATACTGGGGATGACGTTGACTCGGAGCAGATGCTGGCCGAGTGAGGGGAGGGGAGGGTGAGGCGGTGTGCTGCGGTGGTGTGCGGTGGTGGCAGTTCTTCATGTCATCAAAGGACATGGGCGCGGTGGTGCGACAGGAGGGGGCAAGCCACAGCTGGACAGGACACCGCCGGCGATGAGGTTGACTCCGAGCAGATGCTGGCTGAGTGATGGGCGAGGCTGTGTGTTGCGGTGCTGTGCGGTGGTGATCTCTAGAGTGTGTTGCCGTGAGTGCTGAGTAGTAGTAGTCTACCATGTACTGTACCATAGTTTCCGGTGCATAACACCCTTTCAAATTGAATGCTCTGCTCTGAAGTGATGGATGCGGACCTGGGTGGACAGGGCACACCTAAACCACGTGGTGCTCCATGTCAGCGTACATCCCTAGAATGTGTTGTTGTTGCGAGTGGTCGCAACAATAAAGGGAAAATATGTCAATGGTAACTTATATGGGGCACTATAATGCGTACAGTAAAAATTACATGTTTGTCAAAAGTTGCCTTCAGTGATGCGTGTCATATGGGGAACAGAAATTAGGGTTAGGTTTATGTACCCCAACCAACCTTAGTCAATGCATCTTTCAGTTTCTGACATGGTATCACCTAGGTTAGGATCCTGTGGGATCCCGTTCCTCCCGCTAACGCCTGTAGCGCCCTACTGTCAAGCCTGTCCCGTACCCTAGTGCCCGTCACGCCCGTACCGTCCGCTAGCGCCTATCGCGCCAGCCCGTCCCGTGCCCTAGCGCCTGCTGCGCCTGCCAGTCGCGTCGCGCCCGCTTGTCCCGTTGGGTTGCGTCACCCCTGCCCGTCCCGTCCCACCCGCTTGTCCCGTTGGGTCACGTCACCCCTGCCCGTCCCGTCCCGTCGCGTCGCGCCTGCCAGTCGCGTCGCGCCTGCCAGTCGCGTCGCGCCCATCTCTGCCGTCCCGTCGCGTCGCGCCGTTCCGTCGCGTCGCGCCGTCCCGTCCCATTGCGTCGCATGCGCCGCGCCTGCCCGTCCGGCCGCGCCGCGCCGCGCCGTCCCGTCTCGGCCCGCCCTACAGCGCCGCGCCGCGCCTGTCCCGTCCCGGCTTGCCGCATAGCGCCGCGCCGCGCCCGTCCCGTCCCGTCCTGCCGCGCCGCTACGCGCCCGTCCCGTCCCGTCCTGGCCTGACGCATCACGCCGCGCCCGTCTCATCCTGTCGCGTCCGTTCTCGTCGCGTAGCGCTCTGCCCTGCCTGCTCCGGCCTTCTATGTGATTTCCAGCTGTAGTTCCTCTCTCCTTCTGCTATGGCGACGCCTAGGGTCCTCTGCTTTGACGCCGAGGGTAGGCCGCTCGAGTTCTCTGTCTGGCTCCTGCGTGCGCAGCGTCTCCTAGAGAGTCAGGTTCAGGCAGACGAGTCTCTGTGGGCGCACGCTTCCGGTGACCTTCGTGCACCCCCCGATCCTGCACCCTCAGGCGCTGACCCCACCACTGCGGACAGAGATCGTTTTGCACGTCAGCGTGCTGCCCTGACAGCCTAGAATTCGCGTGACGATGCGGCCTGCATCGCCCTCAGCAACCTCGTCCCTGAGTTTGAGGAGACCCACTTCACTCAGGTTCGCACGGCTAGTGAGTTCCTGACTGCGATCAAGGCCCGCTACGCTACTCCCAAAACTGTCTCTCTTGGTCGCCTGTTCCTCCTGTTCTTGTCTCCTCATTTGAGCGCTCTGCTGCCTTGATCGCTCACCTGCGCTCACTGGATTCTAGCTACCGTGCCGCCTGCACTGACGTACAGCTTGCACTGCGCCCCCCCCCCCCCCCATGGCGATTACTATTTATTTCATCGCCACTAGCCTTGCCTCGGTTCGTGACGCGCTTCTTCTGAAGCACCCTAGCGAGCTCACTATCGGCGTCCTTGAGTCTGCCCTCAAGGACGTCGAGAGCAACCTCCGCTCGGTAGCCTCCGCCTCTGGCGCTGTGCCCCCTCCACTGTTTCACGGGTGCACTGTCCCTCAGCTGCCCACCTTTACTGCCTCCCTCGCCACTGCCGCTACTGACGTGGCCGCAGATGCGCGGTCTAGGGGTAGGAGTGGCAGGAGGGGCGGCCAGGGTGCGGGCGGCGGCGGAGGCGGTGGAGGTGGCGTGACGAGCGGCGGTGGCGGGAGTGCATGAGTTGGAGGAGCGCCTCGTGCAGCGGCTAGTGACTCACCTGCTGCACCTGGTGGAGGTGCAGCGGCAGCAGGAGGAGCAGCGGCAGCAGCAGCAGCAGCAACAGCAGCAGCAGGAGCAGCAGCAGCCGCTACAGGAGGAGCAGCAGCAGCAGCCGCCACAGCAGCAGCAGCAGCCGCCACCTCCTCCTCCTGTCTCTGGCATACGGACCCTTAGTCTCCGCTCTCCCTCTCCTCCCTCCTCCCCCTCTCCTCCTGTCTACGGTCCCACGTTTCCTCCTCCTGACCCCACCCCAGCTGTTTTCCCATGTTCTCAGCCTCCGTTGTCCTCTCCTCTTTGTCACACTTGGGCTTCTCGCTCTCCTCGTGCTCGTCCCTCGTCCCCTGTCCCTCTCACTGACCTTCGTACTGTCTTTTTTCTACTAGTCCACCACGTTCGTCTCCGTCTGTGCTTCCTTCTCCTCCTGAGTCGGCCCTCACTGCTTCCCTCTCTACTCTTGTCACTGACTACTACCGCACGTACCATCCTGTTCTCTCTCGTGTTCTCGCCTCTCTTGTTACCGACCCTCGTGCCTCTTTGTCGTGTGTCTCCGCCCTTACTGCCGCAGTCACTGAGTTCGCCACTACTTGCTGCCTTGACTACGCCACTTGTCTCATGGCTGCTCCTTCTACCAGTCCTCTGGCCGTTGGGGGTGTGTCTGCCCTTGGCTGTGACGCCCTAGAGGACAGGCAGTTTGAGCTGGAGTTCTTGGCAGCCGCTTCCCCACATCTCTGTGCCATGCTGCTCGCCCCTGAGGGAGACCCCGACGCCCTTGACATACCGACTCCTCGCACTTACGCTGAGGCAGTGTCAGGGCCTTGGGCCTCTCAGTGGAGAGCTGCCATGGACGCAGAGATGGCCTCCTACAGATCCACAGGCACCTACGTCGACGAGGTTCCCCCCCCTGGGGCGAACGTAGTCGACGGCATGTGGATCTACAGGGTGAAGCGGCCACCAGGATCTCCTCCGGTCTTCAAGGCGCGCTACGTGGCTAGAGGTTTCAGTCAGCGCGAGGGAGTTGACTTCTTTCAGACCTTCGCGCCTACCCCGAAGATGACCACTCTTCGAGTGTTACTGCACGTAGCAGCACAGAGAGACTACGAGTTACACTCCCTCGACTTCTCTACTGCTTTCCTTCAGGGTAGCCTACACGAGGAGGTCTGGCTGCGTCGTCCCTCTGCCTTCACTGGCACTTTCCCTCCTGGGACCCAGTGGAGACTGAGGCGACCGGTCTACGGTCTCCGTCAGGCTCCTCGTGAGTGGCACGACACCCTTCGTTCTACCCTGTCTGACCTTGGTTTCCAGCCGTCTTCTGCCTACACGTCATTGTTCGTTCATCGTGGTTCCACACCGTTCTTTGTTCTTGTCTACGTCGACGACCTGGTTTTCGCTACTGCTGACAGGGTTGCCTTGGCAGACGTGAAGTTCGAACTGCAGAAGAGACACACGTGCACTGACCTAGGTGAGCTGCGCCACTACCTTGGCCTGCAGATCACCAGGGACAGAGCTGCTCGCACCATTACACTCTCACAGTCACACATGGTGCAGCAGGTCTTTCAGCGGTTCGGGCTTCAGCACTCCACAGTACAGCGCACACCTCTTGCTGTTGACCACAGACTCACTGGACCCTTTCCTGACGAGCCGTTTGAGCCTAGTGGTCCCTACGCAGAGCTGGTGGGCTGCCTCATGTACCTGATGACCTGTACTCGCCCGGACCTCGCCTTCCCTCTCAGCATCCTTGCTCGCTTTGTTGCGCCAGGGAGATACCGACCCGTTCACTGGACGGCAGCTGTGAGGGTGGCGAAGTACCTAGCGACGACATCAGGCATGGGGCTGGTTCTTGGAGGGCAGCAGTCTGTCGTACTTACTGGTCACTGTGACTCTTCTTACGCTGACGACGCTGAGACTCTCAGGTCTACTCAGGGGTACTGCTTCAGTCTGGGTTCTGGAGCTGTTTCTTGGAGGTCCACGCGTTCCTCCTCGGTCTCGACCTCTACCGCTGAGGCTGAGATCTACGCTGGTGCCATGGCGGCACAGGAGCTGCGCTGGTTGACCTTCTTGCTCGCTGACCTTGGTGAGCGGCCAAGCTCTGCACCGACCTTGTTCACTGACAACAAGGCATCGATTCTCCTCTGTCGAGAGCCGCGACTGGAGAGCAGAGTGAAGCACATTAACGTCAGGTACTTTCTTCTGCGAGAGTTGCAGAGACGTGGACAGGCTCGCTTCGAGTTTGTGGAGTCCGAGGCCAACACTGCAGACATCTTCACCAAGGCGCTTCCGCCTTGTGACCACCAGAGGTGTTGTGTGCAGTTAGGTCTTGTTGACACTGACTCTCATCTTGCGTAGGCTTGAGTTTACTATTTGCTTTGCTTGTACACTTGCTATATACCTCTGTGAACTCTTGGACTGGCCTTGTGGCCTCTGTTGCTTGTGCTCAGAGTGTGTGGTGACGTTGTGATCCACCCTGAGCTTTGTTTCTTTGTGACTGGTCTTGTGACCGTACACTTTTGGTTTTGCTTGACACCCCTCACTTAGGCTATGGGGGTGTGTCAAATGTTGTAGCCTGTATGTGGGCCCTCGTACAGCTGGATGTTTCCCCCGCCCTGCGGCGCGATGTTTCCCTCGGTGTATCTCCAGCTCACACCCTGTTAGAGCACTGATTGGTCCGTTTGGCAGCTTTTGTCTGCCATCACGAACTCCACCATCACTAGTGTCCAAGATGCTGCAGCCGTTGCCAGCCACGTAAAGGTGATGGCAGGCAGACGGTGCCAACAAGACTTGTTGGCACACACCCTGAGCATTGATTGGTCCTTTTGGCAGCATCGTGTACCACGATGC